CATCATTTTTTTGCTTTATATAGTTAATTTCAGTTTGTTTCTTTTGATTCTGGCTCTATAGAATCTTGAAGGAATACAGGATACATGTTTACTAACGAATACTATAACCAGAATAATTTATAAATTATTAGATATCTTAGTGGCAGTATTAGTGAGGCAGAGAAAAAGAGAACTAAAAGTGATTATAATTCCAATTTTAAGCTTATCAGCACAGCAACATGCCCTAAAAATTAAAGCAAATCAGAGGCTCTCGGTCGGTACATGTTAGAGAAGCTACGAGTAAGAACAAGCAGACGATGCTATTCTCTGTACTGTATCTTTTTAAAACTATCTTAACTCAAATCCTCATGGGATAGGCTTGACTGTCAATAAAAACATGTATTTTTTAAACATTAACTTTTGTCATAAAACGATGGTCTTATCTACTTCATTAGTGTTGCCGTGTTTCCATCAACTTAATTTCAACGTATTACTTATTTAAAAACATCAAATAATTACTTTAGAATTTCATTCTTCAGCTTCTGGTCATAGGTCTCCTCAATATTCTTTATATTCAGCTCCCGTCTCCTAAGAGCATCAGTCACACTTTTATTTTTTTCTTCTTGTAGCCTCTGGGCCCTGAAATTAGCATAAAGGTGTAAAACAAATAGAAAATTACAATACCTGAAGTAAAGACTTAAGGGGGAAAAAATAATGTGTTTTTAGCCCCACAGACTAAAATTGTTACATGCCTGTCACCGCTGGGAAGTAAACAGAAAGAGCCAGAAGTCCTCCATCTATTTCATGAACTGACCTAGTTAGCAGATGGAGCTGTACAGTGCCACCAGGCTGGAGGGAGTGTGAAGTGACAAGGCCAAAGTGGTTTTTTTCACAGAACACGATTCACATTTAAAAAATGGTTTCAGGAGCTACATGGCCATAATCAGTTCATTAGTGAAAGAATTTTATTAGTTACAAAGCTATAGCTCAAACTTAAGTTAGTATACCTGAGTGCTTGTTTCTTCCATAACATTGTTTCTAACTGTGAGATTCAACAAATTGGCAGTTGTAAAAGTCATGGGGATGTAAAGTACAGCATAGGGAATATAGTCAATATTATTGTAATAAACGTATATGGTGTCAGATGGTACTAGATTTATCGGAGTGATCACTTCGTAAGTTATATAAATGTCTAATCACCATGCTGTACACTGGAAACTAATAAAAAAGTCAAAAAAAATTACATTGTGTTTATATGCTTGGATGGGAGGAGTAGGGGTTGTGGAACTATCTCCACTCAAATTCTGTTACTTTCCTTTTCAAAGAGAGTAAGGTAGGCAGAGAGAAGAAATCAAATGAATCAAGTCTACATAAATGACAGGACGTTCATGAAGACGGAGACAAACCCTTCAATGACGTAAGACTCCTGCAGTATCTGTGTCAATTAACAGCAGAACCTAATGAGAAAGAAAGCTTACTCCATAAACTAGACAGGTAAGATTTGAAGAATGAAACATTTGTGAGCACTTAGAAAAAAGTAACACACACATCACAATAAATAGTTTCACCCAGCACAAGTCAAGTGAGAGCCACTGTATTTCCTCTGACAGCAGAGCAGGTAAATGTGGCAGGTCTGGCTATCTGAAATTCAGTTACTATATGCACATGCAACCATTCGATCTGACTGACTGAACATAAACGTGAAACATGATTTGTTAAAACATTATTAGCCTCTTCAAATTATTTGTCTGATCTTACTGTAGCCTGATGATGGTCTCATTCTGCTTTTCATCACAATGTCTAAAATTTCAAAAGCAAAACCCTAGTCTCCGTTTCTCTTAACTTGTGCCTTTTAAAGCTAGGTGTCATCACCTTTATAACCAAGAACTCTACTTGGCGATTAACATTAGAATATTTAGACATATTTAGTTCTTTTTAATCTCATTCATTCTGAATATCCAAAACGAACACATATTACTTACAATTCAAAAGCTTCGATTCTTTGCTTCAGCTCTGCTTCTCTGCCTCTTAGCAAATCTATATCTTTTAGTAGAAGCTGCCTTTGAGCATAAATTTCTTTTGTTTCAATCTGTACAGAAAAGCATCAATTTTTAGCGAGCAAGCTAAAGAAAATAAAACAGATTTGAACTAATAGACTGCTTCCTAAATTCCAGAAAACAATCAAAGTACAGACAATTTAAAGTAAATCACTTTCAAGAGGTTCCATTCGAGATATGCATTTTGCCTGTTCTAGTTACACAGAAATTTACTCCCTCACTTGATAACTGATAAGCTATATAACCAATATTCCTAACATCCCTTGTCTAATCATTCTTAGTTAATTAACATCTCTCAGACACTTAAATTTTGATGTTCTGCAGCAAAAATAAATAAATAAAGAAAGAAACAAAATGTGTATCAGCAATAAAACTTATAAAAATAGAACCCCCAAGGTTTGGCAGTTGGTGTCGGAAAGTTTCAATTCAGAGGCCATTCTGACTTGGCATTAACAAGCTTGTAGGAACCCCAGAACCAACGAGCCACAATTTCACGTGTGTTCACTGAGCAAGGATTCACTGAATAGCTATCATATGTCAGAACACACTGAGAGCTGGATATAGGAAATGAACAGATACAGTCCTCATCTTTAAAAAATCCAGTATTTACTCAGGGAGAGAGAGACAATCGTGGAACAAGGTGATTTCATAACCAAAGTCCATGCAGACTGCACGGCAGGAACCGTGCTGGAACGAGTCATTCTATGGGAATCAGGGAAGGCATCACGAGGAGGTGACATTCAGGCTGGGGTTTGAAGGACAGGACAGTTTTATCCGGGGAGAGAAGGGAAAGGGCATTCCAGGTGTGGAATAAAGGCATGGCACCTTTTATGATGACAACCTCACAGCCTTCAGAGAATCCGTTAACAAGATGGGGATTCAGGCATTAACTATATGGTTGATGGGATTAGGCATCCTGAAGATGAACTGGTTAGGCCAAACACATCTCAAAGACCTGTGCTTCCGACATTTTTAGAGCTGAAAAGCCCAATTCTCAGAAATGCTATAAAAATCGTAGAGGAGGTGCAATAACCATTAAATGACTGGGTCTCACGGAGAAGCCCTAAGCAAGGGTGGAGGCTGGGAGGACAAACCCATTTCCAACATCTCGTGGTCCTAGTGGTTCTGCCTGTGCAGAGGAGACCATGCCCCACATCCAGTTTGGTCTGAAACTCCCCTGGGAAAGGAACTTGTTTCTCCTAAGGAAGCAGACCCAACCTCTCTTGCCAAAACGTACCCCTGCCACTCCTCAACCTCTCCATTTCTTGTCCGGTCACTTTCCTGGGTGACAAGATCAAATGGCAACAGGGATGAGCCTCGAAGCCCGAGACTCCTCCACTCCAGGGACCTTCACCTTTGCTCTGACGGCAGCACACTGAATTCTTTCCGATCCTCACCTGAAACCTCAAGCTGCAACTCTGTCCTCTTGGTCCATCCTTATTCTTCTGTCCGTAGTCCCAGACTTATCCCTTGATGTCCTTGAGACTGCCACATTGCCCTGTCTTGTCCCCTAGGTTAGTAGCCATCCACCCTCCTCTCTGGTTCCCTTCCCAGTCTCGCCAAACTCCAACGCCTCCAATTAAACAGGCTGCCTTTCTCGAGTCAAATAAATTCAGCTCTATAAAGCTCCACGCCCCAAGCATCCCTACCTTTCTGCCCTCACTGACCTTGTAAATCCTCCCAAGAGCTACAGCAGAACAATCACCTACGACCACTTGGTTTGGTCTACGACAGTTCCAGGGCCCTCGACACAGCTTGATCGGAACCATTCCACACCTCTGGGCCTTCTCGAAGCTGCTGCCTAACCCTCAAGTCTGCCTCTCATACACTGTGTCTCACAATCCCGACACAGACGTTCCCATCCATGGTTCCTCCCTCCAGCAGCCTAGAAGGAAGGAAGCCTGCGTATTTTTTTCAGGGCCGATCCTTCCACTTCTGCTCCTGACCCCAGCCCCTACTGGTCCTCTAGGGCCCTGTGCCACAGATTGTTCCAGCAATCGTCCCATCTCGCTCCTGGACCCTGAGCCAATCTACTAACCGCTGCAGGAAATAACCACCCAAAAAATTATTTTAAAATATTACCTCCTGGTGCTTTTGAATTCTCTCAAGGGTCATCTTTTCCTGAGAAATGAGGGCTTCAGATTTTGCTTGACGAGTTCTCTCAAATTGGTTCCGGAACTCAGCTAATTCTTTCTCATACTTTCTTTTCTCTTCCATGAAAAGTTTTGCTATTTCAGTATTTTTTAAATACTTCATCTGCCAATTGAGCACAAATAACTGTTAATACCAATAATTATAGTAAAGAAATTATAACAAATTCCCCATGATTAGGTTTAACATTAATGCTCTCAATATATTCAGTTTAATTCATCTTTAGTTTCATCTCATTCACTGTACCTGTAAGATTCATTCAAAAGGCAAAAAGAAATGACATCAACTGGAAGGAAAAATAATATGCACAAGAGTATTGCATTCATTAATAAGATTCTAAATAGTTTCCCATATACCTAAGATTAACACATGAGAAAACAAAGAAAAATATCACTTTTTTTTTTTATACCTACAACACCTGGTCTTCCTAGGTGGTCTCCCATCCAAGTACTAACCAGGCCCAATCCTGCTTAGCTTCCGAGATCAGACAGGATTGGGCTTGTTCAGGGTGGCATGGCCACAGACCATGGACCATGGCTCCACTGGAGCATAAACTCAGGACCTTCTGCGTGTAAAGCAGATGTGCTAACCGCTACACTAGGGAACCATGTCCAAAATATCACTTTTGTTAATAGCAACAAGACAAACTTACCTTTTGGTACATTTCTGACTGAAGCTGCTGTTCTATTTCTCTCTTATACTCATTTAACTTTATTTCTAAAGATTCTAACTTTAGTCGCTGAGGGTAAGTATCTGCAAACTGATCATCAATAACTTGAAGCTTCTCAGCTATTGAGAAAAACACAGAAAATTAGGATAGAGAAATGTGATAAGGTGACCAAGAGGCCACAGGTCTGTATAAAAGAGTGTATTTAGGGGAAAGTGCAGAAATGTCTGTACATCAAAAAATTTAGATTAATGGATGGATAAGTGATCACGCAACTATTATACACATTTAATGGTGAAATCTAGTTATGCAAGTGTTCCCTGTAAAACTGTTCCAACTTTTTTCAATGTTTGAAAATTTTCATCATAAAATGTCAGGGGAAAAGAAAGCAAGCAAAGAATATAGTTTAAGTCAGAAAACATTAGAATCTCTTTCCAGTCTCTAAGTGCCAAGGCAGAGTTCTTTTATCGGTTTTTGGGGTAAATTGACTCACATATTCAAAACGCTGACCTTAAATGAATCAAAGATCACGTGTTTTAAGTCTATCACTTTACAGGGAAGGACACAGATGCCCACACAGTTAAAGTGACTCCCGGGCAGCTAAGCAACTGCACACCGGCATAGCTGGGACTAAAGCCAGGCCTACTGATCGTCTCTCATTCCAGTAGACCTGCAGCCCTCCAACCAAATGTGGGTCGGAAACAACCATGCAGCAGAGTGCGACCTGGACCTGGAGCACAGTCTCACCCTGAATGATACCGACGCCCACCAAAAAGCGTGTGCAGGAAAAAAACGGCCGGCAGGAATAGGTTAAAATATTTGAACTCTTTTCTGTGTTACAAGTGAAAGGCGCCATTGCTCCCGAAGAGTAAGGGAGGGCCAAGAAATCGACTAATCACACCGTTTTAGCCAGCAGTTTCCCTTCTCTGGTCTCCTGAGCGTACACCTAAAGCGCAGGACGGTGTTGCAGAAAGGCTGCACGGCGGGAGACGCTCGGCATCATGGACCGGAGACCTTGGACTCCAGCATCGGCTCTGACCCAGACTGGGTGTTTCTCAGTTGCTCTTCCTCCCGCTGGCGACTGCCATTTCCTCAACTATAGAACGAAGGGATAGGGCACTGACGCCTCTAGTTGTCGGCACGCGAATAGTCTAGTGTCTTCTCACTTTAGTGGCTATGAAAGTGAGATGAGACACAGGGAAGAGCCTCGAGGTTCAAGCCAACAAACAAGAATGTGGGCCTCTGCATCCCTGTGGGTTTTGGAAAGTGTAGCCCCGGCGCTCACGAAGGGAGGAGAAGCACTGGAGAGCAGGTCCTGGTCCCTTCCAGCAATGACACCAGAGAAAGCATGCACCCCTGCCAGGCGCCTACAGCATGCACCCTTCCCGGCCAAGGACCACTGACATAACGCGGTAAAGCAGCCCATTTCCTTCACTCAAAAGAAAACAGAAGAACTGAAATTATGAAAGAAGGCTACAATTACCAAGAGAATCCTTGCTAGGTAATGTCTGAGTGCTCGGACTTGTCTGAGTGCCCGTATCACAGGTCTCTTTAGCTTGGAGATAGGCTGCCATCTGTTTGAGAAACTCCATGAGAAAACCTAAAAAACAACGCATGTGGTTTTGTCTCACAACTTTCTTTCATTCAACCATTGCTCAATCACTGTTTATACGATCTCGATTTTATGACATTATCCTTTTTTACATTATGTTTCTTTGAAGAATCATTTCTGAGGGAAGTCCTTTCCAAGCATGATACCAAACTCTAGAAGCGGTAAGGTGAAATATTTATCAATCTAACATAAAAATCAAGAACTTATACATGGCATGAAATAAAGTCAAAAGACAAATGATACACTGGAAAAAGTTTGCTATAGTGTGGAGGAGACAGAGGACAAATTTTAATAGTATCAAAGAGCTCTCACCGATCAGTAAGATGGGGCAAGGCGTGAACAAAGAGTTTATGGAAAGAAATTTTAAATGTCGAAAAAACATGAACAAAATCATAAATAAATGCAAATTAATAGTACGACAGCGAGATCCTATTTTCCCAATAAGACTGCTAGGATTAAAACTTTGGTAGTACTTGCAGTGCTGACAGGGGAGCGGGGACGCAGGCATGCTCACTCACTAGGGAAGGCCCTGGGTCAGTGTTTATGCACATGACCTGCCACCTAGTAGTTCCATCTCCATGAATATGCACAGCTATACATTCACAGGGACACTAAGGGTGTACACTTCACACTGCTTCTAATGGCTAAAACCAAAGAATAAAAGGATGAAATCTCCATCGATAGGCAGTTAATTAAATACACTCTTTAAAATTAATCTAAATATATGGCTATAGAAAGACATATTGGCGGATGAAGAAAGCAAACTGTAAAAGTTATATACTATGACCTCATTAATGAGTGTGAGTTTTAATTACATGTATTTGTAAACTAAATTGTGGTAGGATAAATAAGAAACTACTCATTCTACTTATCGGCAGAAAGTGAGATTAGAGAATATGGCCAGAAATTTCTCCTTTTCTTTCACTTTATACCCTTCTGAATAGTTTGGAACTTTTTTTTAAACCATGAATATAGTTTAGAAGTTTTTAGTTTCTTAAAACAAAGTTTAATGGACTCCTGCGTCTGCATCAGCCAAGGTAGGGGCTTTTTATTCCTTTTGTGCTGAAGAGTTTTAAATGCACTGGTTTTTAGTTCCCCTGATGAAGATGTAAACTGTTCTTTCACAGTCATTTCCCTGCAGTTGTCTCATCCACCTTTCTTCCCCTGACCCTTCCCAGCCAGGCTGCCCTCTCCTCGCACCTTTCGCGAGACTCTTAAGCTGAGGCCACGTCTCAGCTCCCTCTATGGAAAAGGTAAACACCTGGCAGAAATTCCCGTCAGATCCTGAGTCCCACAGTAGATAAGCTTTAGGATGTGCTCTTCGGCCTCAGTGTTTCTAAGGCTGTCACCTCTTTCCACGTCTGCAGCGCTGTCCTGACCACAGGTCCCTAATTAGCTCCCTTTCCCTATCCTTCTCCTCCCCGCCCCCACGCCCTCTAGTCTCCTCATTTATTTATTCAATCGTTTATCTATCAGTGTGTACTCATGGTTATTTTATACTCTGGGTTATAATTCCTATGTTATTATATAACTCATTACTTATATAATCCAATATTTTATTTTGTTGCTCCAACTGTTCAGCTTTGGCCTTTGGGAGCTCTTTCGCTGTGCCTTTTTTCTTCCTTAAAGAACTATGTTCTGGCTCTGTAAGATGCTCCAGGCTCACCGTGTATACACATTCTCTGCTCCAGTTCTGGAATCGGCCACTGCCCCAAGGAGCCCTGGTCCCTATTAATATGAGATGGTGTTAGAAACCAAATCTTAGTGTCCCCAACTGGGTGCTAGGCTTGCTCATTGCTACTGGGGTGTCATTGCTTCCTATCCCTCAGCATGAAGAGCAAGGAAATAATATATACACATATCTATATCTCTCTATACATCATGTGTGTGTGTGTATATACACACACACATATATATACACATTAAGCTAAATGATTTCATACTGATGTCTCCAACTAATCCCTTACCACATGGGTCATTCTAGCCTGCTCCCCTTATCTGTAAGTTCCCACTCCAACAGTGAAAGACCTGGCTCTTGCTGTCTACTATCCATCTCCTTAACTGCTCAATCCCAG